TGGACAGTGCACACAAACCTTGCGTGCGGTATACAAACGAACATGGAACAATACATGTATTAATCTGTGTTAATGTTAGTTAATAAAAAGACAATCGTTCAGTGTTTGTTCATGTTTTTGTTGCTGTTACGTGATGTAGCGGTGTCTGACTAGGGCTGAGACGTGGGCTGCTGACGTCATAGTTTCAGAAAATATAAGGATTCGCTGTCCACACGAAAACGCAAGGGCGGCGTTTTCAGATTTATCCACTCTGGGACCCGGTTTCAAAAAATATCGGTTTCACCCTCCCAAAACGCCGGATCCGTGTGGATAAAACGCCTATACGATACAAAATTTATGCGTATACAGCTAAACGCGTCTCCGTGTGTACGGGGCCTTAGTTTCCATTGTCCGTGAAGCGCATCTTTGATTTTTATTTGGAATTAATTCCAAAGCTGTAATTACATAAAATTAAGTAAATAACGTAAAGAATATTGTTTGAATGTTTGTATTTAGGTACATTGATAATGCTATCTACATTGTAAATGCCAGTGGTGGACGAAGTACACAAATCAAGTACTTGAGTAAAATATCTCCCATTTGCATTATTTATCTTGTGACTATATATTTCACAATTTCACTTTATCACAGTTGTGATTTTATACTTTACAATGCAACTTTATTTCTTGTGATTGCATCTTTATATCTCAAAGTTTGACTTGGCATGACTTTAATTCAAATTTTTCAACTTTCTCACAATTACCAGTTTTATCTATTTTTTCTGAGGCAGAAAAAGGTTTCAATACAAAACAGTGATTAGAAATGCTGAAAAACATACTGCACCTTAACTACATTTTTTTTTATATATATATATATTTTTTTAAATTTTTTTTTTTATTGTTTTTACTGTTGTGCCATCATTTCAACCAAAAGCAACAATTCTGATGCTAATAAATATTTAAGATTTTTCATGAGACAAAGATAATGTCAATAGTGGACAGAAGGTTTTTTCAATATTCATCAACTCAAAAGCTTTAATTTCATAAAATTATCTTAAAAATGTAAAGGACATTGGGTAATTGTTTGTATTTAGAATACATCAAATGCTAGCTACGTTCTCCAATTTTCGCAGGCAACAGAGTAAGTTTAATAGAATCTACACAATTGGGAATTTCGCATGAGAACGAAAGATTTCGCAACAGCCATACGGTTTATTGTGTTGACAAACAGACAGACTTGTGAGCTGTACTTCATACATCACAAATCTATACACCCGACCACTGCATTACAAGTAACGTGAGTTACGTAATCAGATTACTATTTTCAAGTATATAGTCAAGTAAACATATTACCATTTAATTTAAGAAAATATCTTAGTTACTTTTTCAAATAAGTAATGCTTTCCCATGTATTGACTGTGTATTGACCCATGTATTGAGCTTTCCCATGTATTGACTGACAGCGCTCCTGTACCCGTGTTGAGAGAAGTCGGGAGTAAGTGCAGAGGAATTGTGTGCGCCATCATCTGTACAGATGTGAATTTACCTTTCCTGCAGCCTGAGGCTTATTCCTTTTACTTTTGGTGTGAAAGTGCTTTCACATTTGCCAAAGATAGAACTTTTCTATACTAAAAACTAATTAACAAGCCCAGACCAGATAAGAAAAAGTAACACAAAAGTAGCGTAACACATTACTTTCTATAAAAAGTAACTAACGCAATTTGTTACTTTTTTAAGGGAGTAGCGCAATATTGTAATGCATTACTTTTAAAAGTAACTTTGCCCAACAATGCACATGATAGACAATCGACTTTTTTTGTCTGCGAAATTCTGCCAAAATTTCAACCCGATCTAATGGGAAAATGCAACTATTTTACGAAGCAGCAATTTCGTATGAATTTGTATTCTCGTAGCTCGTCATAGCTTCGTAAAATTACAGTTGAACCACTGATGTCACATGGACTATTTTAACGATGCCCTTAATACGTTTCTTACTACGGAATTCATCAAAAATATCTTAATTTGTGTTACGAAGATGAACGAAGATCGAACGGGTTTGGAAAGAGACACGGGGCTGAGTAATTAATGACAGAATTTTCATTTTTGAGTGAACTATCCCTTTAAACAATCTATGCAATGGACCGTGATGGAGTGACAGTGTGGTACAAATTTGAATTACTTCATAAAAAATACACAATAAAAAAGCACAAAATTATCCTGTGATGTATATACAGTATATGTAAACTCTTTCACATTGTTAGCGGACAAATGTAATACATTTCTAATGTTTTCTTGTTGAGTGGCAGCTAGTATGTTACAATATTCCAGTCTTTTTAATGAGTCCGAGACACTTTGGTTTGCCATGCTGAGAGTTTGGCCTAACAAATTATACTCCTCATATTCTCATATATTTAATGATGTTGTAGATTTTTCCGCAATTTGTTACTTTTTTAAGGGAGTAGCGCAATATTGTAATGCATTACTTTTAAAAGTAACTTTGCCCAACAATGCACATGATAGACAATCGACTTTTTTTGTCTGCGAAATTCTGCCAAAATTTCAACCCGATCTAATGGGAAAATGCAACTATTTTACGAAGCAGCAATTTCGTATGAATTTGTATTCTCGTAGCTCGTCATAGCTTCGTAAAATTACAGTTGAACCACTGATGTCACATGGACTATTTTAACGATGCCCTTACTACGTTTCTTACTACAGAATTCATCAAAAATATCTTAATTTGTGTTACGAAGATGAACGAAGATCGAACGGGTTTGGAAAGAGACACGGGGCTGAGTAATTAATGACAGAATTTTCATTTTTGAGTGAACTATCCCTTTAAACAATCTATGCAATGGACCGTGATGGAGTGACAGTGTGGTACAAATTTGAATTACTTCATAAAAAATACACAATAAAAAAGCACAAAATTATCCTGTGATGTATATACAGTATATGTAAACTCTTTCACATTGTTAGCGGACAAATGTAATACATTTCTAATGTTTTCTTGTTGAGTGGCAGCTAGTATGTTACAATATTCCAGTCTTTTTAATGAGTCCGAGACACTTTGGTTTGCCATGCTGAGAGTTTGGCCTAACAAATTATACTCCTCATATTCTCATATATTTAATGATGTTGTAGATTTTTCCCATTGACATAATAAAAAATAACCAAGAAGATTTTTCAGCATTTTTTTTTTACTTCGACCACAAAATGTTATATGTCTAATTTTGAATACACTTTCAAGCTTTCATGTGGCGTAAAAGGCAGAGAAGTTTAGATCGGTGAGCGCGGCGGAGCAACGGGCAGAGCGCTGTGTGCGTCGAGCTCCTCGCTAAGTGTTTCAGCAACGACCAGCCGTTTGGGGCCGGTTCAAGACAAACTACATGTCTGTTAGAGTCCTATAAATAACAGTTTTATTATGCCTCTTTCTGAATGCTTTTTGCAAAGTGTGTCTCTGAAGGCTTGCACATGTGGGATTGTTCAGCGGCGGTTCTGCGTTCAGTGATGTAAGGGGTCAGCGCGGTGGTTGCGCTGTACCAGCGCTAAGGACATTTTCATAATGTGATACAAAGCACATGGATACTGCTATTCACATCACTATCACAAAGTTAAGGTAACGGATGAAGTCATTCCTGCGTCCAACGGCCCGACGGTGACTTGCTCTAAAATCATATAATGCAGTTTCTGGAGCTTACTCCGGCTAATATGGAAGATGGAAGTAGCAGAACTGGAACGTTTCTAAACATAGCCGACAAGTGGGAGAGCGGTAAATGAGAAAAGCTTGTTTTTGTTCAAAACAGCCAGTTATGTTGTGCCTTATTGCATGTCCGTACCAGTGGTTCAGACGAAAAGGCGATCAAAATCAAATCTGAACGTCCCAAATCAAACGTTCTTAGAAACGCAATAACCAATCTTTCCTCAGTAATTTACAATTTGAGATGACATTCATGTCTGTAGCAAACAAAGTTGCGGGGCGAATTATGCAACAAAGTAAAATACAGAAGTTTATGGGTTTGTTTCAGTAAAAGTTATGATAGGACAGTTGGAAGTGGAAGGGATTCGAACTCGGGACGCCCGTAGCGCAATGGCGCTGTATGTCGGCGAGCTGCCCACGATGCTATCAGTGCCAAATTCTTTCAGTAAAGTTTATCTGAGGTTTGTGTAATGAGCTCTGTTCACCCTTATATGTGTTTCTAAACAGATAATATGACAACATCTCTCGCCTCTCTACTGCCGCCACCTGGTCTGGAGGACACAGTGTTTATTCAGTAAAGTCTGTTGACGTTTGAACTTTTATAAATTGCACTTTGTGGTATATAAATCACTCAAAACAGAACAAAAGTACTATAATTTGAAAGGTATTAATACAATACAATCATTTAATATTATTTTAACCTCAAATGATTCGTAACCCTTGAAAAAGAAGTACATTTTATTATATTTAAAAAAGAGTACTTACAGCAATGTTTGATGTTCAGTTAACTTAATTGCCGGCTATTTTGATTTAAACTGAAATTTATTATAGTTTAAATTGGTATTAAATACAATTATCTGAACTTAGACCCAATTAAATAGGACTTAAGTACATTTAGATATTTAATGCCATAATTCTATTGACTTTAAAATATGGATACATTTTATCGCCTAAAGCATTTATGCTATGAACGGAAATAAACTTTAAAGTCATTTCTATTGAAACTTTTATGTCATGTGTTTAAATATATTTGTAATTACACATTCGTAATAATGAAGTTGCAAATTAGTACATTTAAAATATTTTAACTTTAAATGCAATACAGAATAACACACTACAGTTAAAATTATGAAAACATAATTGTTTAAAATATTGTAAAACATTTAATTTTGACATTATTGCAAAGTTCACTTTTTAAAAGTGTACTTACAAGTGTACTCACTTAAGTGCCCTTTTATGTCAGTA